ACACACACACACACACACACACACACACACGCACACACACACGCACACACACACACAGGGAAATGAAACTCACGACTCTGTTGTTCATTCTTCGGGTTTCTTGGATGACTCAGACCACCAGACATTAACCTGATCTGCTGTCTCACCAGGCTCAGCAGTGTGAGCAAACCAGTGGTCCGTGGGCCAAATCAGGACTTTCAGTCCTGTGATCTGGACCGCATAGAACCGTCTGTTGGTCCGAAACAAAAAACATCAAAAAAATCCGTCTGGAACCAGAACTCTTTGATTTTACAGGATCGACCGGTGGGTCCAAACTGACCCTGGTTCTGAACAGCTGCAGGAAACGTTTCGTTAGCTACCTTTTAGCTACTTTCAGTTTTTCAGCTGATTTTAGCTTTAGCACAAATTTTACCCATTTAAGTCAAGTTAATTTTAGCTGTTGTTTAGGTGCTTTAATTTTTAACCTAAAATCTGTTGGTTTTAGCTCGATTATCCAGTGTTCTGTTCATTTTAATGTTAACTCAAACTTACTCCAATATTTTCCATATGTAATAAAAACAAGAATSTGATGAAGTGTCTAATTAATTTTGTCCAGCTAAAAGCTAATAGCAGCAAAAGGCTAACTAAAAGAATGGTCAAATATTAGCTAAAAGTAGCAGAACAATAACCAAAGGTCATCTCTGAATTTCCTTAAAAGCCTTTTGACTTTTTATGTTTGTGAGGGTGTTGTGCTAAAGGTAAAAACTGGAGGAAGTTGTCTGACAACTGGTTTTCAAAATAAAAGCCCACGGTAGCATACGGAAATGTTTACAGATCAGAAACTGCGTCGTTTTTGTCCACCGGTGGAACAACGACGAGGGGCTCAAAGAGCTTTAAAAGACAAAAACAGAGCAGCTAAAGCAAATTTCAAACAAAGTTTTTAATCTTGATTAATTTCAACAAATATTTGAAAAAAAAACTACAATATTTTGAAAAGTATAAAAGTTACAAAATAAAAGTCACAGCAGCCAACTCCTGAACGAGCTGAAGGTTTTCATCTATACACAGCTAAAACAGCAGGCTGTAAAAAATGTTCTGAAAATAAAAAGCAACAGTACGAATGCTGAGTCATGCTTTTATAAGCTTCACTTTATCTTGTGGGAACAAAAACACGTGTTGTTGATTATTTGTTAACAGAAGAAATAGAAGCAAAGGTAAAAACAGCTGTTTTCTGTGTTTTTATAGGAGTGAAAAGGTTGTGAAATCAAAACTAACTGGATAAATAAACTAAAATAACCTGTTTTTCTCAGTTTTACAGGTTTTTTTGTATTAAATGAGTTTTAAAAAGTCACTGAGGGAGAACGTTCTCCTGATTTACTCATTTCTGTTTCATTCTTCAGATTCTGTATCTGATGAGCAGCTTTGTGACTCAGCTGATGAACRTTTCTCTCTGCAGAAATGGGACTCGGGCCTGAAGCTGATCGCTGAAGCTTACGCTGCTAAATGCATCTGGAACCACAACCCGGAGCTGGAGGAGACCGGGGAGAATCTGTACGCCGGCACCGGGGCTCTGGACCTCCGAGTGGCCGTGGAGAAATGGTTCATGGGTGAGTCATGATCGTCCACACCCTGAGYCTTCATCACAACTTAACAACAGTTTGTAACAACAACACCTCAGGATTGGTTCAACTGTGTGAAGAAACTTTACTGTTTGTAAAAAGTTTTCTGTGTAACAGTACAGACTTTTTACTGAGCCTGTACCAGTTTTAATGTTGGTCTGATCAATGCTCCAAGGTTTGTCAGGGTTTTTATGGAAGGAAGAAAATGAGTTCCTGACAGCAAAGAAAAAAAATCTGATTTCTTTTCTCAGAAAAATCTCCATTAAATCAACATAGATAATAATTTTGAAAATGTGGTGTAACCTTTGGTAGAGGAGATCATTCTGCTTCCAAAAACAACAAAATCTTAGTTAACCCTTCATGCTCCAGAGAGCAGGAACAGATGGAAATTCACTCAATTCATGTCCTTTGAGCAAGGAGATGTGAGGGTTAAAATACGATCTGTCACATTAAATTAAAGGTTTAGATGGTGTTTTACACACATGCCAAGGTGTTTGTAAAATAATTAACCCTTTCATGTCCTAACGTCAAAACAAAAATATCTCATTTTTGAGTGGATCATAACCAAGAGTTAACAAACACACGTGAAGTGGTCGTGGACAAGTCAGTCCAGACAACTAACATTACAATAATGTAATGTACTGTACATGTACAGTACTGTACAGTACATGTACAGTACATTACATGTAATGTACAGTAATGTACTGTATTGTACTGTACATGTACAGTACATTACAAACACCTTGGCATGCTTTTAAAACACCATCTAAACCTTTAATTTAATGTGACAGATCGTATTTTAACCCTCACATCTCCTTGCTCAAAGGACATGAATTGAGTGAATTTCCATCTGTTCCTGCTCTCTGGAGCATGAAGGGTTAACTATGATTTTGTTGTCATTGGAAGCAGAATGATCCCTCTACCAAAGGTTACACCACAGTTTCAAAATTATTATCTTTGTTAATTTTATGGAGATTTTTCTGAGAGAATCATTTTTTCTGATACACATTGTATATACAGTATAAATATTATTTTTTACTCTGTGGCCATAATCCTCTTCTGTTTTTATGCTCTGTTGTGTCT